GGTGGTGATGCACACCTTTAGTCCCAGGTGGATCTCTGTGAGTTCGAGGCCAGCCTGGTCTACAGAGCGAAATCCAGGACAGGCACCAAAACTACACAGAGAAACCCTGTCTCAAAAAAACAAAAAAGAAAAAAATGCAGGCAAAACACCCATGCACAGATGAGGAGGAGGAAGATGAAGAGGAGGAGGGGAGTAAGAATTAAAATGTTTATGCAGCATTGAATTGCTTTTTTAGCTCTTTCATGTTGTGAGGAGCTGTCCACATTCATTGTTTTGTCTTAAAATACATTATTTGCCGGGCAGTGGTGGTGCACACCTTTAATCCCAGCACTTGGGATGCAGAGCCAAGTGGATTTCTGTGAGTTCGAGGACAGCCTGGTCTACAGAGAGAGATCCAGGACAGGCACCAAAACTACACAGAGAAACCCTGTCTCGAGGGGAAAAAAAAAAAAAAAAAATATATATATATATATATATATATATAAAATTCATTTTTCAAGCATTTTATACATGTATACAATGTATTTTGCTCATGTCCACCTCCCATACCCCCCTCTCCATGTTTTCCTCCCAATTCCATGTCCTTCATATTATTATTATCTTTTTAACTCATTGAGTTCATGAGTCTACCTTTGTCTTTTAAGACAGTGTCTCCCATTGCTCTGCAGTTCACCAAGCAGATTGGCTTGTGCCCAGAGAGTGCCAAGGACCCTCCTGTCTTTACCTCTCAGGGGCTGGGATTACAAATTCTTGCTACCAGGCTGAGAGCTGGGGATCTAACTCAGGTCTTCAAGCTTTCACAGCAAGCATTTCATGGCCTGAACTCAGCCAGTCACGGTTTCAAACTGACTACTTAATCCATGTTTGAAAATGTCCTGGGAGCCATGCAGTGGTGGTGAATACCTTTAGTCCCAGCACTCGGGAGGCAGAGGCAGGTGGATCTCTGTGAGTTCAAGGCCAGCTTGGTCTACAGAGAGAGTTCTAGGACAGCCAAGTCCACACAGAGAAACCGTGTCTTAAAAAGCTGAGAGAGGGCTGGAGAGATGGCTCAGAGGTGAAGAGCACTGACTGCTCTTCCAGAGGTCCTGAGTTCAATTCCCAGCAACCACATGGTGGCTCACAACCATCTGTAATGAGATCTGGTGCCCTCTTCTGGCCTGCAGACATATGTGCAGGCAGAACACTGTATACATAATAAATAAATAAATCTTAAAAAAAAAAAAAGCTGAGAGAGAGAAAATGTCATGAGAAACTAGTGTAATATTGAACACCTATATGCCTTGCCTGTAGGAGACTAAGGTGTAGCTAGAGTTTTCCTGCCTGGCCCACGGTCAGGACAAATCTCTCTCACCTGCCAGTCCCACAGCCGCTCAGACCCAACCAAGTAAACACTTTTTTGCTTACAAACTGTATGACCATGGCAGGCTTCTTGCTAACTGTTCTTATAGCTTAAATTAATCCATTTCCGTTAATCTATACCTCGCCACATGGCTCATGGCTTACCGGCATCTTCACATGCTGTTTGTCATCGTGGCGGTTGGCAGTGTCTCTGACTCAGCCTTCCACTTCCCAGCTTTATTCTCCTCCTTGTCCCGCCTACACTTCCTGCCTAGCCACTGGCCAATCAGTGATTTATTTATTGACCAGTCAGAGCAACACATTTGCCATACACAGATTCAAGCCACAGCACACATAAAAAACATTTAAAATTTAACATTATGATTACGAATGTAGAAACTGGCTGGGTGGTGGCAGCACACACCTTTAATCCCAGACCTGGGGCGGGGGGGGGGGGGGGCAGAAGCAGACGGATCTCTGTGAGTTCGAGGCCAGCCTGGTCTACAGAGTGAGTGGCTCTCCAAAGCTACAGAGGGAAACCCTGTCTTGAAAACAAACAAACAAAAACAAAGTAGAAGCTGAAGAGTACAAGACTCCTAGACCAAACATCATTCCTTCCCCCTTCCATTTCTTGTAACCTTTATTCAGTATTTTTCCACCATCACCCTTATTTTCATTGCCTGATATGACAAGAAATTATTTCAGTCAACTGTTATAAAATCATTTGTTTATGGCTATAGCCCCCTTTACCACTGACCCCAAACTGTCTCATTTTATATGCTTTTTTCGAGACAGGGTTTCTCTGTGTAGCTTTGCGCCTTTCCTGGAACTCACTCTGTAGCCCAGGCTGGCCTCGAACTCACAGAGATCCGCCTGGCTCTGCCTCCCGAGTGCTGGGATTAAAGGCGTGCGCCACCACCGCCCAGTTCAGGATCCCACTTTTAAATGAGTTCCAGGGGATCCAAATTCAGGTCCTCACGCTGGTGTGGAACCATGTTTCCAGCCCTGATTTTTTCCCCTGAGAGGGAGTCTCACTATGGTGCTTAACCTGGCCTCAAAGAAAAGGGCTGGTGGCCTTAAACCATTCCTCTGTTTCAGCCTTCCAAGTAGCTGGGCCTGCAGGTGTGTGCCGCCATACTGGGCTGCTGAAGAATTTGGGTCTACACAGACTCCCTTCAACTAACATGACTCAGTTAAAAGGTTTTTTTATTCTTTAACTTAGTTTTTGTTTATATTTTAATAGCATACAAAGTAAACAGTATTTTCACACTTGCCTCGTTTTCCTTGTCCCTTGTTCCGATTCCCTCTCTTCTACTTAATATTTCATATTTACAGTGGTGCATCACATCTGCACAACTGTTGCTTTTCTCTTTCTTTCTTTCTTTTTTTTCTTCAAGACAGGGTTTCTCTGTGTAACAGTCCTTCTGTCCTGGAACTCACTCTGTAGACCAGGCTGGCCTCAAACTCACAGAGATCCTCCTGCCTCTGCCTCCCGAGTGCTGGGATTAAAGGCGTGCGCCACCACCGCCCGGCCCGTTTTTGTTTTTTAAATAGGCCATGGCCAAGCCTGAGTGGGTGGGGCAGGGTGAAGAGAGATGACGGGGTAGAGCTTAGAGGCCAGGGAGGAGGACTCTACAAACCACAGTAAGAATGAGCTGCTCTCATAGGCAGCGTGGTAGTGCAAGCCTGGAACCCCTGCACTTGGGAGGCAGAGTGTCATCCATTGTGATGACACTGTCAGGTCCATTGTAATAGTAACATGTCAGCTACACGGTTATTTTCATGCGCGGACCGTTTGCTTCTGTGGCCTTTGTGCACCAGTTACGTTTCCACAGCCTGCTTTCCGTGTTTGAGCACTAAACCTTGACAAGTAGTTTCCAGTCAACACGTCGTGACTACCATGGCTGAGTCAGAAATCAAGGAGATGGTGCCAGAAATATAACCTGTTTCTGGGATCTTCCCTCTTCCAGAGGACAGATGCCCTCCTGTCACACTGAAATAGTTCCTTTACTGCTGCGGTGTACAGATGTGTGACAGCTGTTTGGATGGAACTCTGTGCTGTAGTCTCCTCTGTGAGCCCCTACATAGGGCAAGCTTGGAATCTACAATATTAAAACCCCCGTCTGTGATTTCCGGCGTCATCCTCAGATCCTCTGCATGTAAAACAAGTCTTATAGCCACTGTCTAGTCTGTCAACTTGACACAGACTAGAGTTACCCGGGAAGAGGGACCCTCGGGATGCTTTCTTGATTAATGATTGATTTGGGGGAACAAGCCGGCTGTGGGCAGCGCCATTCTGGGCAGGTGGGCCTAGGTTGTATGAGGAAGGTCACTGAACAAGCCGTAGGAAGCACACTATTGGGAAGTGTTCCTTCATAGCCTCTGCCCTGGCTTCCCTCAGTGACGGACCGATGGAGGCGTATAAACCCTTTCCTTCCCAAATGGAAAACAAAGTCCCTGTTAATAGAAACTGCTATCGGGATGTTAATGAGCGTTGACAGACGCTCTTCAAGGGCAAGCCTGGACTCCCCACCTTCTCTCCTGTTTCAAGTCAAACCTTCTGGTCCTTTGTCCTCGCACTGATTTTTCCATAATTTGATTGTTTCATCACTGATAGTAAAGTACACAGCATTTTCTGGAGGGGACAGTTGTCAATGTGTATTTCTAAAGTTGTAAAGTAGAAAATTCTAGTTCATGGCTCTGGTATTTTCTTGTATTTGTCTTTTGGAGACATGGTCTTGCTGTGTAGCCCAGGGTACCCTGGAATTCTCTCCTGCCAGTTCTTTGTTTGTTTTGTTTTTTTCCTTGCTAGAGATCAACATGGGCCCTTTCCCCATCCCCTAGGAAGGTACTTTGCCGTGTGAATACACCCCTAGACTTTTCTTCACTTTTTATTTTGAGACAGAGACTTGCAAGTTTTCCAGGCTGACCCTGAGCCCTCTCTGCAGCTCAAGCAGGCCTAGACCTTGTGATCCTCCTGCCTCAGCCTTCTTAGTACCAGGGACCTGTAGTCGGGTTAGGCAGTACATTCCAACTGGAGAGAGAGGAAGAGGAAAGGAGAGGCAGGAGACTCTGGGAGCCGCCGCCAGAAGCAAGACGTGAAAGTACCAGTAAGCCATGAAGCCACGTGGCAATGCATAGATTAGTCGAAATGGGTTAATTTAAGATATCAGAGCTAGCTAGCAAGAAGCCTGACCCAGAGGCCATACAGTTTGTAAATAATATAAGCCTCTGTGAGTTCACTTGGGATCAAGCGGCTGCACAACACTGATGGGAGAGATTCATCCCCATCTCAGGGCCAGGCAGGACTGGGGAAACATGTGACTACAGGGACCAGCAGCCACGATCCCGTAGAACCCGCTGTCTCGTGTCTTGGGGACACAAGAAGAGAGGCTTAATGCCGGGCAGTGGTGGCGCATGCCTTTGATCCCAGCACTCGGGAGGCAGAACCAGGCAGATCTCTGTGAGTTCGAGGCCAGCCTGATCTACAGCGCGAGATCCAGGACAGGCACCAGAACTACACAGAGAGACCCTGTCTTGAAAAACTTTAAAAAAAAAAGAGAGAGAGGCTTAGATGGGAAACGAGCTTCTGGCTCCATCTCCACTCTTCCTAGGCTTGTTTCTTAGCTCCTCCCTGGTGACGGCGTGTCGTTCCCCTGCAG